GCAGTAATCTCAGTACCTGTTATCCTAGCTACTCAAGAGGCTGAAATCTGAGGATCCAGGTTCCAAGGAAGCCTTGGCAGGAACGTCTGGGAGACTCATCTCCACTTGGAGCTCTGACTCAAGTGGTAGAGCACCAACCTGAGCAGAAGTCAAGGGAGAGGGTGAGGCTCCAGTCCTCAAAAAGCTTACATAGCAATCAGGCATTTTTATTTTTGGTCCATGCTCACCTTGGAGGACTGAAGGGAGTGGATGAAGCCCCAGCGTCTTCCTCCAGTCTTTTTTGTGGTTCTACAGAATAGGACGTTCTTGTCTCTTTTTATTGCCAAAGTCATTTGTGTATTGATTGCCAAGTTTTGTAGAGTATAGGGTACCTGAAGTGAAAGTTACTGTTTTTAAGAAGTGGACCAGCCGGGCGCCAGTGGCTCACACCTGTCATCCTAGCTACTCAAGAGGCTGAGATCTGAGGATCACAGTTCAAAGCCAATCTAGGCAGGAAAGTCTGTGAGACCCTTCTCTCCAATTCGTCACCCCCCAGACTACACTACACACAGTAGTGCTGTGGTTCAGAGTGGTAGAGCGCTAACCTAGGACAGAAAAGCTCAGGGACAGTGGCCAGGCTGTGAGTTCAAGCTCCAGGAGCAGCATAAAGAAAAAAGAAAGAAATGGGCCTTGCCAAGAGGAACCTTTGCGGTGTGCGGGTGGAGGGTCATGCAGCCAGAGGGGCCCTGCAGAGAAGGCAAGGACTGTGGAGGAGAAAGTTGATTCCTTTCTGTTCCCGGGAGCTGCCCCAGTTCTGGGATCAGAGTGGATTGCCCGGAGCAGGAAGGAGGTTAAGGAGCTTGTCCAGGACAGGTGAGTGGATGGATGTGTGTGTTAAAGCTAGCCCCCGGTTTGTTTGTCAAGGGCCCTTTAGAATCAGCTTCTGGCGGGATACGTTGTGTCAACTTCCTGCCCAGCTCTTTCGGGCCACTTAGCACTGTTGACTTTGGGATGGAGTGCACAGACCCCTCTGCTCACTGAGCGCTTAGTACCCACCCTGCTCCAGCCCACCAGGGCCAGGAGGACCCTACAGCGTTTGTGTGTGTGTTCATGCAAGCGCTGGTACTGGGGCTTGAACTTAGGTCCTCCTGCACTCAACTTTTTCACTCAAGGCTGATGTTCTACCACTTTAGCCACAGCCTCACTTCTGGCTTTTTGGTGGTTCATTGGAGAGAATAGTCTCACCGACTTTTCTGCCGAGACTGACTTTGAACTGTGATCCTCAGATCTCAGCCTCTGGGATGACAGCTGTGAGCCACCAGTGCTATGAAACATGGGGCCTGAACTCTGGGCCTGGGCACCGTCCCTCAGCTCTTCAGCTCAAGGCTAGGGCTCTACCACGAATTACAGTGCCACTTCTGGCTTTTTCTGCTTATGTGGTACTGAGGAATTCAACCAAGGCCTCATGCATGCAGGGCAAGCACTCTACCACTGAGCCACTTTCCCAGCCCCTGAAACTGTCTTGAAGTGAATGATTGTTGGGTCTCTAAAAGGGAGGAGCTTTCAAGTGTGGAGAATTAGAGGCCAGGCGTGTTCCCCTGAGGGCAGTCGGGGAGAGAGGGGTGTGGCAGGAGGGGAAACCACACATTCTTAGTACTGGTGCCTGGTGAATCCTCTGGGAAGCTGAGAATAGCCTTGCTGCTAAGGCTGTACCCCAGGGCACTTACATGGGAAGGGGCAGGCGGTTTTGTCTTCTAAGGCACCCCTCCCCCAGTGTCCTAAGGTTCCAATGAGGCCCAGGTTGAGAAGGAGCCGGGGTGTAGGGCACTCAACCACATCTCCCCCTTTGCCATGGGGCCAGCTGGTTGCTGCTCAGGATGGGTCACTGACTGCAGAGTGCCTAAATGTGCAGGCCAGGCTTCAGTGGTTTAAAAGTGGTTTCAGGAAAGCTGCAGCCATTGCGTTCAACAGTCACAATGTGTGTGTGTGTGTGTGTGTGTGTGTGTGTATGCATGCGTGTGCACGCTCGTACAAGTGTGTTCAAATTGTTATGGAAAATGCACACATCACACCAACTTTTTTTGTTGTTGTTGTTGGTCATAGGGCTTGAACTCTGGTCCTGGGCACTGTCCCTGAGCTCTTCAGCTCAAGGCGAGCGCTACTTGAGGCACAGCGCCATGCCACTTCTGGTTTTCTGAGTGGTTAATCGGAGATAAGAATCTCATGGACTTTCCTGCCTGGGCTGGCTTTGAACCGTGATCCTCAGATCTCAGCCTCGTGAGTAGATAGGATGACAGGTGTGAGCCATCATGCCCAGCCTACATCAACTTTTTAAAGTACTGAAAATTACCAGTGACTCATCTGCTCATGACTTCAAATACAGTAATGAGTCTGGGCCCCAGTGGCTCACACCTGTAATCCTAGCTACTCAGGAGGAGAATGAGATCCAGAGGATTGCATTTCAAGGCCAGCCTAGGCAGACAAATCCTTGAGAGGCCATCTCCAATTAAAAAACAAAAACAAAAAGCAAGGCCTAGGGGCCTGGGTGCCAGCCATGAACAGAAAAGCTAAGCAAGAGCTCAAGGCCTTGAGTTCAGAGCTCCATACCCCAGTGCACGTGTGTGCACGTGCATGTACACACACACACACACACCTCTATAGTAATGACTGTCCTTGCCTGACATAGCACTTTGCGGTCTGTATCTAGCTGTCTTTCTCTCTCTTTTCCCACCTCACATCCCCCCTTCCCCTCCTCTCTCCCTGCTCCTAGGGTACAGTTCTCAGTAGGGTTGGGGGAAGCTTCTTCAGGGTAGAATTCTGTGAGTGCTGGCAGAGGTGGAGCTGTTATCTTGCAGGGTAGATCTGCAGCTGCCAGGGCACCATGACCCCTGGGCTGGGCAGGGTAGGGCTGGTTAGGGCCTTGGCCAGGCGGGGTGAGGCTGGGCAGGGCCTGGCCTTAGTTTCTCTCTGGATTTGAAGCCTTGGCCTGTCTACTACAGGGATCCACCTGGGACAGGGTCTGCTGAGCAGCCCTTCTTTCAGGTCTGGAATGGAAGGCTTCCTGGGGTGGCTGGCTGCCTCCGAGCAGGGAGGCCAGGCCAGCGGACGAGTGAACATGTGCATTGTCAGGAGCTTACTAAACCGCCCTTTTGTGTGTTGTCTTTTTAAGTGTTAAAACTGTGATTGTAACTGTGATGTACAGCAGGATTAGTTACATAGTCAGATAAAGACTACACTTCTCTTTGGACAATGTTACCTCTTCCCTCGCTCTCCCCCAGTTTTCCCCTTACTTGTGGGTTTTTTTGTGTGTGCTAGTCTGGGACTTGAACTTGGTATCTGTGTGCTGTCCTTCAGCTTTTTTTTTTTGCTCAAGGCTGGCAGTCTACCACTTGGGCCACAGCTCTACTTCTGGTTTTTTACTGGTTAATTGGAGATAAGAGTCTCGCCATCTTTCCTGTCCAGGCTGGCTTTGAACCTCTATGCTCACATCTCAGCCCTCTGAATAGCTAGGATTACAGGTGAGCACCACAGGTGCCTGGCTTGAAATGTCCTAGGCCCGTCCCTGGCGGAGGCCTGTGGTCTGTGGATTGGAGCACAGAGGCTCTGGGGGACCAGCAGTGTTTCACTGAGGACTCATCTGTCCTGCACCTGAGTACCGAGGACACGGAGGGACGGAAGTGTCGCGTGACTTATCCCAGGTCACAGCTAGCAAGTGGCCGTGTCATCAGGTCTGCCATTTGTCAGCCAATCTGGTGCCCACCTCCCTCCTGCGGCTGGAGCCTGCCCCTCCCCACAGCTGTGCCAACTGCTGACAGGTCTCAGCCACCCCAGCAGTGGGGCTGCAGGAGTGTCCTCTTCCTATCTGGGAGTGGCTCCAGCTTGGTGTAGGTTGGGTGTGGGTTCCATTTCCATCACTGTAGGGAAATGCCTGGGGTGGGGCACTTGGTTTTTTAAAGTAGTTCTTTGAGGTACTAGGGTAGCGGCCGAGAGCCCCTGACTGCTGGTTCACAGATGGCTTCTGGTTCTGAGAGGGCTTGGGCCGTGTCACAGCACAGCGGGCAGTGACCACATCCCATGATGACACACATGGAGACCACAGAGTCACAGCCACGCACGCACCCCACAGCCTGGCCCCAGCGCCCGCCTCAGCTCGCAGTGCGCTCACCCCTCAGAGGTCCTGTCTTGGGCCACCGAGGCCTGAGTTCCCAGGGGACTCACACAAACCAGACGCAAGCCATAGCAGCCGCTCAGTCCACTCTTGCACGAGCCTTTGCTGTTCGGTCCAGGCTGGGGCCCCCTTAGCCCCTCTCATTCCTCTGGGGCTGTGCCAGTTACTGTGGCTACGACCTGGGGTTCTCCCCTGCCCCAGTTGGGGAGGGAGAAGGTTGAGGAATTCTCCTAGAGCAGGGGTTGTAGAGTGGGTAGGTTTGAAAACGAAGATAGCAACCCCCGAATAAGGGCCAGGCCCCTCTGGACACCTCTCTTCTTTTTTTTGGGGGGGGGGTCTGGTGGTGGGGCCTGAACTCTGAGCTTGGGCGCTGCTCAAGGTTAGCACTCTACCACTTGAACCACAGCACCACTTCCGGCTTTTCTCTTTTTGCTTATGTGGTGCTGAGGAATCGAACCCAGGGCCTCATACATGCAAGGCAAGTGCTCTACCACTGAGCCACCTTCCCAGCCCCCACACCTCTCTTCTTAATCACTATTTTTGTTTCTACTGTGTTTGTGCCAGGGATGCAGTTTTACCAAAAACTTTGTAAAGAGCAAGGAAAAGTAGAACTCAAACTCTGTGTGTGTTGGGGTGGGGGTGGGTCGTGGCAGGAGTGGTGGTGGTGACAGGTTCAATGAAATTAGCAAGAGTGAGAGGCTGACCACATTCCTGGGTCCTCAGATTCCCGTGCATGCAAATTAGAGACAGAGCCCCACCCCTGAGTGGTGTAATTAGCATTGACCAATCACTGTGGCCCCTGCTTCATGTCCTCTCCTCCGAGGCCTCACCCCTGTGTCTGTGCGGCCAGCAGGTGTGGTGTCGGCACAGAGGCAGGTGGCCGTGCAGGAGGGACCCCTGTACCGCACCGAGGGCTCCCACATCACCATCTGGTGCAACGTTAGTGGCTTCCAGGGCCCAGCCGAGCAGAACTTCCAGTGGTCCATCTACCTGCCATCGGCCCCGGAGCGCGAGGTGCAGATCGTCAGCACAGTGGACCCCTCCTTCCCCTATGCCATCTACACGCAGCGCGTCCGCGGCGGCAAGATCTTTGTGGAGAGGATCCAGGGCCACGCGGCATTGCTGCACATCACCGACCTCCAGGCCCGAGACGCAGGCGAATACGAGTGCCACACGCCCAACACGGACGAGCGCTACTTCGGGAGCTACAGCGCCAAGATGACCCTCGTGGGTGAGGCCTGCTCCCACTGTGCACCACACCCTGATTGTCTTACATAGTCATTTGATTACTTGATGTTTTACTTAATTTGTATTCTGTCATTTTCATTTTAGCTCTTTTTCATTTCATTCTATTCTATTCTTTGTATTCTAGTTTATTATTTTGTTTCAGTGCTGGGTCTTGAACTCAGGGCCTGGGTGCTGTCCCTGAGCTTTTGTACCCAAGCCTGGGGCTCTACCACTTGATCCACATCCCCATTTCTGGCTTTTTGTTGGTTCATTGGAGATAAGAGTCTCCTGGCCTTTTCCTGCCTGGCCTGGCTTCAAATCATGATCCTCAGATCTCAGCCTCATGAGCAGCTAGGATTACAGGCATGAGCCACTGGTACTGACTTGTCCTTTAGTTGATTGAATACTGTCCTTACTTATTTTTCCTTTCTCTAACTTGTGTTCTAACAGGAGGACATTCAGACCCAGTCCTGGGAGAAAACTCTCTCTAGACCTAGCTGAGGCTAAACTGCCTTCATCTGCCCCCCCGGGGGGGGGGGGGGGCAGGAGGAGGTGTTTCCTCTTCAGAACAGGGGAGGGTGGGGGTAAAATTCCAAGCCCAGGACCTGGAGGTAGAGGCTTCACCTGTCTGAATTGTCCTCACGTCGAGACTTCTCTCTACCAAGGACCACTTTGATGAGTTCTGTAAAAATTAACTTACTAAAAATAGAAGATGAAAAATGCAAAAAAAATTAGGATGATGATTTTTCTGTACCAAAAAAAATTTTTTTTTCAAATAGCCTCCATTCTGGGCATGATAGTACATGCTTATAATCCCAGCACTTAGTCAGAGGCAGGGGATCATGATTTGGGATGAGTAGGGAGAGCCTGTTTCAGAACAACAAAAGCTCCCCCAGGGCACTGCACTGTGGAAATAAATTGAGGGGTGAGGAGAAAAGTGGGGTGGGGAGAAGAAGAAATAGGATAGTGTGTGGAAATGTAAACTAAGGCTGGGCGTGGTGACACACTCCTGTAATCCTAGGTACTGAGGAGTGGGAAGGTCTTAGTTCAAGATCGGCACAGCAGTATTAGTGAAAGTGGAGCTCTAATGATAGAGCACTGACCTTGAGTGTATACAGCATACAGGCTCAGAGTTCAAGCCCTAGGACCAAAACACACGCACATATTCTCTCTCCCCCTCTCCCTCTCCCTCTCCCTCTCCCTCTCCCTCTCCCTCTCCCTCTCCCTCTCCCTCTCCCTCTCCCTCCCTCTCTCTCTCTCTCTCTCTCTCTCTCTCTCTCTCTCTCTCTCTCTCTCTCTCTCTCTCTCTCTCTCTCTCTCGGATTAGAGGTGTGGCTCAGGTGGTAAAGTTCCTGCCCAGCAAGCACAAAGCCCTGAGTTCAAACTCTTACAGTATAAGAAGAAGTCAGGCAGGCAGGCTAATACTAAAATTCCAAGCAGCCTCATACTACCTGCAGATTCCTCAGAAGGGAAGTTCAGGCTTCTCAGAGCAATATCATAATCAACAACAGATCTTACCAGGTGAGAAGAAAGCAATTTTCCCACTGGTGCATGGGGCGGTCCTTTGCTGTGCAAGAAATTCCCAAGTGCAGTCTGTGTTCAATCTGAGTATTATTAAAATGCCACAGACAGTAATTCCAATCCAGAGGTATGTCATATGCAGGCGTGGACATGTCACAATGAAACCTGAACTTTCATTGGATGGTAATATAAAAAAGTTACTAGCTGGACACCTGTGGTTCACGCCTGTTATCCCTAACTATTCAGCAGGCTGAGAGCTGAGGATCATGGTTCAAAGCCAGCCCAGGCAGGAGAGTCCATGAGCCTCTTATCTCTAGTGAACCAGCAAAAAGCTAGAAGTGGAGGTGTGGCTCGAGTGGTAGAGCGCCCTGTGACCATTGCTGTTGGTGTTGTGCATTGCAGTGATCCCAGATACCCTGCAGGCCACCGCCATGCCCCAGACCCTGCACCGGGTGGAGCAGGATGCCCTAGAGCTCAGCTGCGAGGTGGGCACAGACACAGAGCAGCATAGCCACGTGTCTGTGTCCTGGCTGCGGCAGAACGGAGGCGAGATGCCGGTGGAAGTCATCTCCCTGAGCCGGGACTTCGTGCTGCACTCCAGCAGCGACTATGCCCAGCGGCAGAGCCTGGGCGAGGTGCGGCTGGACAAGCTGGGGAGGACCACCTTCCGCCTCACCATCTTCCACCTGCAGCCCTCTGACCAGGGCGAGTTCTACTGCGAGGCTGCCCAGTGGATCCAGGACCCCGATGGCTCATGGTACGCCATGACCCGGAAGCGCTCCGAGGGTGCAGTGGTCAACGTCCAGCCTACCGGTGAGTCTCCGAGCCTCGTCCCTGGGGACACCAGGACAGTGTGAGCTTCCACCTTCCTGGTGGGTTCCTGCGGGCAGGGAGACAGAAGGGTGAGTAGGCATCGGGGCTGCTTCCTAGGCAGATCCTGGTGCTGGGCTTTCTTTTCCTTTACCTACACCACCTGTGTGTTTGATTAGACACATTCCTTTAAGAACTGGAGCTTGGCATCCGTGGCTCACGCCTGTAATCCTAGCTATGCAGGAAGCTGAGATCTGAGAATTACTGTTGGAGGCCAACCCAGGCAGATAAATCTGAGAGACTCTTAACTTCCAGTTAACCAGCAAAAGGCGAGAAGTGGAGATGTGGCTCAACTGGTAGAGCTCCAGCCTGGAGTGAAAGCCAAGTGAGAGTATGAGGCCCTGGGTTCAAGTCCCCATACTGCCCTTCCCAAAAAGAACTTGAAAGGGTTCACTGAAATTGTCTTATCTTGTGACTCTGGCCTGCTCTTCTGATCCTTTCCCTGGCTCGACCTTCCTCTCTGACCCTTTCCCTGGTTTGAACTCCCTCTCTGCTGAGGCCTAGGTTGATCAGGGAGGGAGGGCAGGGGAGGGGAGACTTCCAGGTTATAGTGGAGACAACTCCTGGTGAGCAGAGAAGCCGAGCTCCTGGTGTATTTGTTCTGCTTCTCTGTGGTCAGCGCAGCTCTGGGAGGAGCTGGGCAAGGCGCGGTCCCTGGACAGCTAATGGATGTGGGAACTTTCTTCCTACCAATGGCTCCTAGTCAAGGAGCACTTAATCTGCTCTGTAGGACCTAGGGCTTTTAGAAGCTTCTAGACCATCTCACATTAAGAAGTCCACTGAAGAGGCTTTAGTTCCTGTTTATCATTTCCCTTCTTGGAGGGTTTTAAAGGCAGCTTCAAAAGTCTGCACCACATTTTGAGTCTTAATGCTTTAAAATTAGGTTGCAACAGTGGAATCTTCTTTATTTTAATCTTACCAATTTGGAATTAGGACTTTTTGAATTTGCCCTACAAATGAATCCAGACTAAGCTACCAAAGGGAAGATATTTAACAGGGGAAAAATGGAGTGGATCAGCTCCCTGTGTGTCCTTGTGCCGGCTCCGTGTCTGCATCTCCCAGTTTTCCCTGCTCCTGGTTTGCTTCTGTAATTCATACCCAGCCCCAGCAGCCCTGGAGAGCTGGGTTGAGGCTTCAGGAGGTGCCGGGTGGGGGGCAGTTGGTCTGTGCACTTGGGGAGCTTGCAGAATGATCGAGCAGAAAGGCTGTGTGCTGGGACGTGTCTGCAGAGGAGAAGCCACATTTACGAGTTCTGGGCTGAGTCGGGGGAGAAGAAAGAAAAGTCACCTGAGTCCAGATGCTGAGTTGGAGCAAAGAGTGGACTCTGTGGACTCTGGACTGAGGTGTTCCAGCTGCCCTTCCAGAAGCCCCAGGAGCATCTCATGGGGTTGGAGGTGGCACTTGGCTCTGTGGGAGACTGTTTTTTTATTTGTTTTTTTGCCAATTCTGGGGCTTTGCCTCAGGGTTTGGGCACTGTCCCTGAGCTTCTTTTGCTCAAGGCTAGCACTCTACCACTTGAGCCACAGCGCTACTTCTGACTTTTTCTGTTTACATGGTACTAAGGAATTGAACCCAGGGCTGCATGCATGCTAGGCACGCGCTCCACCACTAAGCCACATTCCCAGCCCAAGACTGGGCTTTTATATGCCAGGCCTAAAGCAGTCCCAAGCCAGTCCTGGCCCTGGCCCCGCAGGCCACAGAAAGAGACGCGGTGAAGGCGGAGAAAGGAGATTTTCTCCAAGGCAGCCTTGGGAGGATGGCGTCCAGGGCATCGCCAGTCCTCTGGGTACAGATCTCGGGCTCTGGTGGAGTGGGGAGAGTAGGGGCAGGATGCGAAAGGCCCATGGGGTTCACTCAGTCCCAGGTCATGGAATGACCTGCTGAGCCCTGAGTTCTGGCTCTGTCCTGGGAAGATCTGGAGCCGTCCTTGCGTGCTCGCTGGGACAGAGCAGAACAAGGAAGAAGAAGTGTTCCCCCCCCCCCCCATCCCTCTAGGCATGGAGGAGGAGCTTCGCAAGCAGTAATGACAGCAGATGGGGGTTTTGGAGGCAGAATGTAGAGGCCATCTGGAAGGCTGTTGGGTCTGCAGCTAAAAGGCCGGTAGAGAAGTGCGCGTGGCTGGGCAGGTGGGAGGCCAGGGTGGAGGATCCTGAGTCAGGGTGCCCACGGGGCTCCGTGTGCAGAGCTCTGCCTGTCTGGCTCTTCTTAGTGTTAGCAGGGTGTGGCTACTGTGGGTGGCTGTCAGGCTGTGGTCTGGGCAGCGCCACTAGACCGCACAGAGCAAGCCCAGGACAGGGCCGAAATAGGATGTAGTCAGAGGAGAGGCAGGGGGTGGGGTGCAGTCAGGATGGCCTGGGCTTTGCTCCTGGTGGAGCTGGGGAAGACGAGCCATGGGTGCTGCAGTGCGAGAAGCCACAGCTCCATGTCCGGGAGCTGGACGCCAACAGAGGCCAAAGCCATACACGGAAGCTTCACAGACCAAGCCAGCAAGCCAGCAGAGGGCACTGGGAAGGGCAGGGTGTGTCTTCAACCAGGGAATGAGGAGGCCCAGCCCAGGGCAAATGACAGGTCTGAATATCCACAAGTCCACAGGGGTTCCACCAGGGTCATGGTCAGTGAGGACGGCTTGGGGGCGTGGTCCGTTGGGCGTGGCCCATGGGGTCATGGCGCTGTTGTCTGGTGGTGAGTCACTGTCATTGTTTGACCTGAGGGCTAATGATAGCTGTGGGCACAGGCTCAGCCCTGCAGAATGTTCTTCTAGCAGATGGGGCCTTGGGCTCCTGGGTGGGGCAATGGCAGCCACACTGGGAGATGAGTCCTGGAGTGATGGAAGGCTCCTGGGAAAGATCGGGAGAGTCTGGTCACTGGGGAATAGAGCCTGGCAGGATGTGGACCCGGTGGGTGGAGCCTGGAGAGGGGGAGAAGGGTGGACGGACCCAGGTCCTGAGGTGTAGGAAAGGCCCTCACCTGCCTCCTGAGGACGCAGAGCCTCAACTGCGTCCTGGTGTGTGCTCCAGGAGCTCGTGTGTACTCAGGCCACGGTCCCTGCCTCAACCTCCCCTGGCCAGGCTCTGTGATCGCTTCCTCTGGCACTCAGCTCTATCTCTTTGCTCCTCACTCCTTCTACAGGGCCTCTGAGATCCAGTGCCAGTCACTGGACACAGTTGCTGGAGCCCCTCTTGGGCCTCCACGGTGCCCCTCTGGAGACTGCCCGGTTCCGTGGCCCGTTAGAGGACCTCTGGCTGTCAGCACACATGGCTAGTTTTTGTTTTTCCAGTAATGTAGCGCTGTTAGTTTGCCTTGCACGCTCACTTGGCATTTCCACTCAAGGCTGGCGATCTACTACTTGAGCCACAGCTCCACTTCTGGCTTTTTGCGGATTCGTCAGAGATAACTCTCAGGCTTGCTTCAAATTGGGATACTCAGACCTCGGCTTCCTGAGCCACTGCCCAGATTGCCTTTACATGTCTTGTCTCCGTGTTCACATGTGGTAGAAGGAATGCTGGCATTGTCACTGGTGTTTTCTAGGACTAAGGTCAGCACCCATGCCACTCTGTGATTTTGCCTCACAGATCTCCTAGGTGGGGGGAGTCTTGCAATAGCAGATGAAAATACTTGTGATTTTGTTGCTTCAAAGGAATTCCAAGAGCATATGTCAGGCTCAGCCCAGCAGGCTGTTTGTAGGGGATGCCAGTCATGGCTGGCAGGCTCTCGGGGGCATAGCAAGCCCAGCCCAGTGGTCTCAACAGGAGTATCAAGCTCCCTAGATGCTCTGGGCCTGGATGGCACTCTGACATTTCAGGGTTGGGTGGGGAAGCAGAGGCAAAGGTGGTTTGAAAGTGAGAGTAATGTGCCAGGGAAACTGAGGTAAGCTTCTCAGCTTCTGGTGGGAGGACTGCCTCATGCATGAGACTTTGTCCATAAACTTGGGGCTGTGGGGATGGGGGAGTACTGACTGCCCCATGAGCAGGGGGAAGGAGGCTGGGGATGGCTTCCGGGGTTCTTCTTTTGCGGCCCCTTGGGGAGAGTCTGTTTCTTGGCCCCCATGCATGTGTGATTGTTTTCTTAGACAAAGATTTCACGGTCCGGCTGGAGACTGACAAGCGGCTGCACACGGTGGGCGAGCAGGTGGAGTTCCGGTGCATCCTGGAGGCTCAGAACATTCCAGATCGCTACTTTGCTGTCTCCTGGGCCTTCAACAGCTCGCTCATCGCCAGCATGGGCCCCAACGCCGTGCCTGTCCTCAACAGTGAGTTCGCCCACCGGGAGGCCAAGGGACAGCTGAAGGTGTCCAAGGAGAGTGATGGCGTGTTCGTGCTGAAGATCTTCCACCTCCGCCAGGAGGACAGCGGCAAGTACAACTGCCGCGTGACGGAGCGTGAGAAGACTGTCACCGGCGAGTTCCTGGACAAGGACAGCAAGCGCCCCAAGAACGTCCCCATCATCGTGCTCCCGCTCAGTAAGTAGAGACACAGTGCGTGTGCCGGGCCTCGTGGACTGGCCAGCATCATGGCGGAGAATATGGGGAAACACTGCAGGGCTGGGAAAGTGGCTCAGTGGTAGAGCGCTTGCCTTGCATACCTGAGGCCCTGGGTTCGATTCCTTAGCACCACATAAGCAAAAAGAAAAAAGCCGGAAGTGGCGCTGAGGCTCAAGTGGTAGAGCACTAGCCTTGAGCTGAAGAGCTGAGGGATAGCACCCAGGCCCAGAGTTCAGGCCCCACGACCGAACCCAAAAAAAAAAAAAGAAACACTGCAGACAGGGACCCCAGACCTGAGATGGGGCAGCTAGCTGAGTGGAGACACGGCTGTGCCTGCCCAGCCACAGACCCCAGAGGAAAGGGCTGAGACCCTCAGATCCACCTGAGGAGAGTTAACCTTTCACAGGGGTGTGGAGTCCACACGTGAATTACTAAGGGCTTGCTGCCTGGGTATTTTCCAGGCATAAGCCTCTTGCCCACTGAAATCACATTACTAAAAGTGAGTGGGTTGCCAAGCACTGGCGGATCACACCTGTAATCCAAGCTGATCAGCAGGCTGAGATCTAAGGATCACGATTCTAAGGATCACAATTCTAAGTCAGCCCAGGCAGGAAAGTCCATGAGACTTACCTCAGATTAACCACCAAAAGGCTAGAAGTAGAACTATGGCTCAAGTGGTAGAGCACCAGCCTTGAATGGAAAAAGCTGAAGGACAGCACCCAGGGCCTGGCTCAAATCCCAGTACTATACAAAAAAAAGAAAACAAAACCCACAAGTAAATGTGTAGTTAGGCAGTTGGTTATCATATGCCAGCCTAGATTGATTCTAGAAGTAAAATAAGACTCAGTGGTCAGGGTCTGGGTCTTTCTGGTGTGTGCCTGGGAGAGTGTCCACCTCTGGAGACAGCTCCTGGCATGGTGGGGGGGAGGGAGGGATGGGAGGGAGGAGGGCCTCTGCTGGGGACCCCGGCAGCCACCATGTTGATTCATGTGTTTCAAATGTCCTTTGTGTCTGATGTTCTCATTAACTTCTTTTCTCTCACAGTTCTGTTTTTAGTAAAATAATAATAGACACTTAAGATGCCCCCATTTCAACAAGAGTGAAGTTTTACGACTAACCTTTAACCTTCCCTCCGCTGCCAGATTGTCCTTCCTCCTAGCCTTGTAATGATGACGTTTCATTTCTGCGTTCACATGTCCCCAGTATGTCCTTAAAGTGTAAGGTTGGAAGCGCTCTTTCTTCTCTCGTAACAGGATACTAGGATGCATACTGTTTATTAAATACACACACACACACACACATGCCGCTGCCTTGTCACCTTGAACTTTGTCTGCCTCTTCCATTTCTCTCCCTGCAGTGCCCAGCACGGTGCCTGGCACAGACCAGGTGCTTGCTCCGTAACTGAACTAACTGAATGCCTGCCCTGCTCTTGTCTCTGCCCCTGTCGGCCTAACCTTGCGTTAACCACAGACTTTCCTCCGACATCTGTGACTAACTCCTCCCAGTCTGGCCAGGACTGAGCAAAGGGCAGCCTTGCTGCTCCTCACCTCCCGTCCTCTCCCATGCAACACACCCCTCGCCCCCAGCCCCTTCCAAGAACTTGTTTGTGATCTGTGGCCTGCTTTTCCAGCAGATGACTGGGTAGTTAAAGTCCCCCAGCACCACCAGAACCTGCCCCAAGGCCACTTGGGTAAGTCTACCAAAGACCAACCGCAATCACACCGGTAATGATGATGATGCTAATAATAAATCAGATCTTAATGGTGCTTTTCCTCCCCACGAGTCCAAAGTGCTTCCACATAAGTGAACCTCTCTTCCATCCTGGAGAGGGCAGAGCTATGAAGGGAGGACAACCCAGGGAGGAACACTGTACAGGGAGCACCACACAGGGAAGAGCCGGAGCACGATACAGGGAGGAGTACTACTCAGGGAGCATCACACAGGGTGGAGTACTACTCAGGGACTGAGCCCTCTCTCCAGTTGTCATCAGGCTTGCAATGGTATTGGAACCATTAGCTACTTACTAACTCCAGCTCCACCGCCCTGGTCCGGCCTCTGCTCCTCCACCCACAGCCCCCTGGTTAGGAGCTTCCTGGTGAACACACCCTGCCTTGCTCATTAGCTCCATCCACTTTTCACTCAATCCAAGAATCTTGCTTGTCATCTGCCTGGTATCTGCCCGGGAACCCCATGAAAGCTCTACTAGTGAGCAGCGCAGTACCAGGTTTGGGCTTCTGTCTCAGCTGCCAGTGGCTTTTCTTTTAACAATGTGGTTTTTCCAGACTTACTTCAAACAGCAGACTGGCCCTTTGCAAAGAACAGTTCAGAACTATATACGAGTCCAACAGAAGTCGCCATCTGTGGCTCACGCCTGTAATCCTTAAATACTCAGGAAACTGAGATGAGGATCAATGTTCAAAGCCAGCCTCAACAGTAAAGTCCATGAGCCTTATCTCCAATTAGCCAGCAGAAATCCAGAGTGGAGCTGTAGCTTGTGGTATAATGCTAGCCTTGAGTGAACATCTAAGTGTGTGAAGGGCCTAGCTCAAGCCCAGGACCAGCACAAAAACATGAGGGATAGGGCCAGGCCTTGTGTGGCGTCCCTTAAGGCAAGCAGAAGGGTTTTTGCCTGAGGATCAAGGTTCAAAGCCAGCCTTGACAGGCTATCAAACATTTTTGAATAGCTTCTGGTGAGATTCAGTCTGTAACCTGAAGAGGACCATTGTTAACTAATGGTAATAATGAAAGCACACACCTATCTCATCCTTTTGGTGGCATGTCCTGAAGACAGAGCCCTAGGTGGTACAGTTAGGAAGTCCTGAACCTGCCCTCCAAAGCCCTGTTTTTTGTTCTGTTCTGTTCTGTTTTGTGTTGGGGCTGGGGCTTGAACTCAGGGCCTCAAGCTCTCACTTGGCTTTTCTGCTCAAGGCCAGTGCTCTACCACCTGAGCTACGGCTCCATTTCTGCTTTTTGGTAGTTTATTGGAAATAAGAGTTTCACGTTTTGCAGTTTTTCCTGCCCTAGGCTGGCTTTAAACCAAGATCCTCAGATCTCTGCCTCCTGAGTTGCCAGGATTATAGCATGAGCCACTGGTGCCCAGCCTCCAACTCCTTGCTCTTAACCACAAATGCTAGAGATGGAGGAACCTTGCGGTCTCCAGGAATGGAGTGGTGTCCTTGAGAATTGCTCCCCACCACCACCATTTTCATGAGAAACAGACCTAGACTTGTAGAACAGTCATTACAGCCAGAGCTGAATGCCCATGCTTGGCGCTATCTTTGTCTCTGCCTGTCGGGGAGACAAGGGGGACAAAAGTCGATTTGACAGCACCCTTCTGTGTGTGTTTTGTGTTTTCCTTTGTGATTTGGTGTGCTTCTTAATTTGGGATTTGATTTCATTGATTGGTTAAGACAATTGAACATGTTTCATGAGTGGGGCCCCCAAATTAACTATGGCTTTATAGTTTGTGCCTTTAAGATTTATTCACCTTTTAAACTCAATATAGGTAGTGTATAATCACTGATGCATACTTAAAACAGATTAAGATACCCTGCTGGTAATGGGAATAATAAAATTAATCCTGACCATCACTGTTCGTGTTTGGAAACTTGCCATGTGGTAGGTGATCTGTGTACATTGTCGTGTTCACTTTTTGATCTCTTAAAAATTCTGTACTAATAGGCAGGTCCTGCTGATGGCTCACACCTGTAATCTCAGCTACACAGGGGACTGAGATCTGAGGGTCCCTGTTTGGACCAGCCTGGGTGGGAAAGTCTGTGAGACTTTGGGAGTGGAGCTGTGGCTCAAGTGGTAGAGCACCAGCCTTGAGCAAAAACAGTAAGGGATAGCAGCCAGGCCCTGAGCCCAGGCCCCAGTACCAGCGTGCACATGCGCGCGTGTGTGTGCACACACACACACTCACACTCAGTAAAAGAAAGGTAGCATTTTCCCTATCTGACCAGAGGGGATTGAAACCTCTAGGGTTTAACAAATTCAGATGAGTGAGATCAGCTAACTTGGGGGATGTCAAAGGCCACTGGACCCAGGCAGGGTGGGAGCAGAGCCCTTCTCCCAGACTTGGATGGAGGACTTGCAAGGTAGAGCAGAGGAAGCAAGACCAGTGCCAGGCTAGGCCGGGCAGAAGAGGTGGAAGCTGCTGGCTTCAGCACCTTCCTCCTTGTAGAAGTGGGAAGCTGGTGCCCCATGCACTGTGGTCCATTTGCCCACATGGGCACAAGTGAGCCTCCCAAGGACTTCCTGGCACTTTTTACCCTGACACGAGCTGCTTGTGGCTGCTGTGGCCATTGACGAGGAAGAGGATGGGTGAGTTTTCATCTTGCTGAAAGTCAAGTTGAAAGTTTAGGCCTCCTAAGCAGGGTCTTACCCTGCGCGTCAGGTCATTGTATTGTATTTCTTAGGTTCTAGTTCCTTTTCAGTTTTAGGACCTCATTATCCCAGGCCTCTGCATATAGCAAGGAACATTCTAGGTTATCAGCTCTGTAATTGCAGCAGTCAATGCCCAGAGCCAGTCAGGTCTTAGAGCAGCCATGTCTAGAGTGTTTCATTGTCAGGTGCTGGTGGCTCACCCCTGTAATCCTTGCCATTCAAATGCTAAGATCTGAAGCTCATGGTTCAAAGCCAGTCTAGGCAGGAAAGCCCACAAGAATTTTATCTCCATTTAATCAGAAAAAGGCTGAAAGTGGACTTGTGGCTCAAGTAGTAGAGCACCCGTCTTCAGCCAAAAAAAAAAAAAAACAACTCAGAGACAGCACAAGCACAGGTCCTGAGTTCAAGGCCCCAGAAGGGGCCTAATCCTCTGTGCGTCCTGTCCCCGACGGTGGTTCCAGTGGCTCCCGTCTTCCGTGGGAGGACGCGTGACAGCCCTTAGCCCCAGCATGGCCTCTCTCCTCCCCAGAGAGCAGTATCTCCGTGGAGGTGTCCAGCAACACCAGCACGGTCCTCGAGGGTGAGAGCCTGCGCTTCCTGTGCAGCGTGCGTGCGGCGGGCCGGCCGCAGGGCCGCTTCTCTGTCATCTGGCAGCTGGTGGACAGGCAGCACCGCCGCAACAACGTTATGTGGCTGGACCGCGACGGCACCGTGCAACCAGGCTCCACCTACTGGGAGCGCAGCAGCTTTGGGGCCGTGCAGATGGAGCAGGTGCAGCCCAACGCCTTCAGCCTGGCCATCTTCAACAGCAGGAAGGAGGATGAGGGCCAGTATGAGTGCCATGTGACCGAGTGGGTGCGGGCCGTGGACGGCGAGTGGCAGATTGTGGCCGAGCGCCGAGCCAACACGCTGGTCTCTATCACAGCTTTGGGTGAGTGAGTGTTACGGCCCTGTGTCCCACCCCTTCTCCTGACTCCTTCAAAGGGACTTAGCAGAGTGTAGTGTTTATGAGCCCGGGGACCCCACAGGTGGTGCAGGGTATCTGGGGCTAGCAGCTGCTGGTCCTGGCACAGGACAAGGTAGAACATCTTGTTGTGTATTTAGTAGTTACTTCGAGTCTGGCTGGGCCCAAGCTCTTGAACTCAGTTGTCTTCATTAAGTCCTCACTTAGCCAAGAGATAGTCTTTTTTATTTCATAAGCAAAGGAAGACTACTAGGTTAGTGAATTTGCCCAAGGTTATGGCTTTTGTGTGTTGTATGCCAGAACTGGGGCTTGAACTCGGGACCTTGTGCTTTCTCTGAGGTTCTGTGCTCAAGGCTGGCACTCTGCCACTTGACACAGCTCCACGTTTGGCTCTTTGCTGATTAAATGGAGATAAGAGTTTCCTGGATTTGTCTGTCCTGGTTGGCTTTGAACTGGATTCCTCAAACCTCAGCCTTCAGGGTAGCTGGGATTACCGGTGTGAGCCTTCAGCATCTGATTACAGCTTTCAAGTGATTGCACCAGAAAGTCAGAACCCAGAAAACTGGCGCCCATCCTAATGTTCTACTCCTTGAGACCCCTTACTTGAGCAAACCATTTCCTCTTTAGCATGAAATGACAAGTTACCTTGAGGTTGGTGAACTCCAGAGAATATAGGGTAGGTAAGGATGCTTCTGAGATACAATCAGTGTATTCACATGTGAGGGAGCAGTGGCTTGCGGGGCAGCATCTGTGGATTCCGAGCCTAATGCTGTCACCTTGCACCTTCCCTCCCGCTCTGGAACCACGCCATCACCTTCCTGCAGGTGGCGCTGTTGGAGTTCCCAGTAAAAAATGGCAGCTGTGAAAAGTGCTCTCTGGAGTGGGTTCCTCCAGTCCCATTGGATTTGCTTTCCAAAATCCCAATCCCAAGGACGCTGGTACTTCCTACAGCAGTTACCCAGCTCCTGTCTCTGTCTCTACAGATTTGCTCCCGTGTCTTCGTTTCCTGGATTTCTATCCCCTGTGCCTGGAGTGAGCCCCCACCCGGGCCAGGGCACTGCACAGCAGGGACAGGCTCCCGGCTGGGGGCTCCAGGACAGGTCTTGTCCCCTCCGAGTCTCTTCTGCACCCTGTGTGCAGACGCAGATACGCAGGCACTGCCGTGGCCTCCTGATGGTCAAGGAGCAGCCCCCAAGGCTTCAGCTTTTTGCTGGCTACTTGTAGATGAGAGTCCATGAACTTTCCTGACTAGGCCGGCTTCAGGCTGCAACCTTCAAATCAGCATCCTGAGTAGCTGGGATTACAAGCATGAACTACCAGCACATAGCTGTGCCTCTGTCTCACAAGGCTGTTTGGCTCAGTGAAAGGGGGTGAGAGCAAACCAGCGTGCCTGTGCCCGGCACGTGGGCAGTGCTAGCCTGGCACACCGCATGCCCTATGGTTACAGTCAGTGCCCCAATTGGGGTTCATATTTCACACTGGCACCATGAGGAGTCGGGTGCTGATGAGGGGTACGAGAGTCTCTCAGCCCACTGAGACTGCACAACCCCAAAGCTTAGACTTGGCTCTCATCCAAGATCGCCACCTGCTGAAGATCAGCCCTCCTGCTGTGGCCCCTCACCTTCACCCCCAGGCTTTGTGGGGAAGCCCGGGGGGGGGGGGGAGGGCTGGTGACCTCGAGTGCCCCGGGAGGGGCACTGATGCCCTGGGGTGGGGTGGGGGGGTCACCTCAAAGCAATGAAGGAAGTTGGTTTTGTAGACTTGGTTAGATGTGGGATCCCGGGGTTCGTATAGTTCAGACTCCGTGGCACCAGCCTGCCATGGCGCCTCCTTCCTGGCACAGCCATATGGATGTTTCTCACATTGTTCTCAGTCCATACAAATATCATCAGCACAGGCCAATAACCATGGGCAGCCAGCGAGGGCATGCCTGGAAACTGGCACACATCGGTGATTCTGAGGGCCTTGTGTGGCCCCCCCCCAAGGGAAGCTTTGGTGCCTTGGTTCTAGAAGGGGGCTCGCCATGCATGCACACAGGGTCTCTGGGAGGGGCTTGGGCTGGGCTGGTGTGTCCCCCTGACGTAGCATGCACATGTGGGAGAGGGAAGCCCCAAGAGAGGCCTTGGGGACTCTGCTGCTGGCCCCCATGGGGTCGCCCCTGGGGTGGGGGGATGATCGTGGGGAACAAGCCAGATCTAGAGGCCAGAGCTCCCGGCTGACCCCTGCTTGCCCTCTAGACACAGGTTTTGCGGTGACAGCCATCTCGAGGACACCAGGGGTGACCTACAGCGACTCGTTCGACCTTCAGTGCATCATAAAGCCGCACTACCCCACCCGGGTCCCCCTGTCAGTGACGTGGCGCTTCCAGCCCGTGGGCACCGGGGCCTTCCACGACCTGGTGACCTTCACACGGGATGGCGGCGTCCAGTGGGGGGACAGGTCCTCCACCTTCCGGACGCGGACCGCCATCGAGAAGGCTGAGGCCAGCAACAGCGTCCGCCTGAGCGTCAGCCGGGCGAGTGACACGGAGGCGGGCAAGTACCAGTGCGTGGCGGAGCTGTGGCGCAGGAATCACAACAGCAGCTGGACGCAGCTGGCCGAGAGAACCTCCAACCTGCTGGAGATCCGGGTGCTGCAGCCAGGTGTGTGTCCGCCCAGGCTTGGGACTGTGGGTGGGTGCCGAGGGATGTGGGGGGCACGGGGGTCCACAGGAGACGTGTGGGGGCATGCTCACATCAGGTGACAGGAGATGGGGACAGGAGAGCCTGGGGGTGGGGAGAATGCAGAAGACAGTGAGGAAGAACCCCTCTCGTGTGAAACACAGAACATACGTGCACGTGTATGTACATACATACAGGCACCTGCGTACTCACCCACATAGGTGTGTCTCTTCATCTTGTGAGTCCTATAGCACTTTCTCCTCCCTTCCTTGATGGCCCGGCCCTGCCCAGCGCCCTCTTGCATGCTTTGGTTGCTGCTTTGGAACCATTTGAGGGCAAAGTTGTGGCCATGGGGCACTTACCTTGACACTCCTCCCAGGACACCGTCTGTCCCCAGCGTGTGCCAGCAGTGCCTTTCTGTGGTGTCCCCTCCCTCCTTCCTTCCTCTCCTCTTTCTCTTTTTCATTGTGCCAGTACTATACTGAGGCTTGAACACACAGCTTCACACTCTCCCTTAGCTCTTATGCAATCTCAGACCTCAGCCCTCTGGGTTGTGTCTTGGGGTTTTGAACATGGAGTTGTTGCTCTCAAATTCTCACTGAGATGTGGGGACAAGCTGTGGTTGGCCTGCAGATTTAGACCTTCCCTGGTCAGGTTTGTCACCTGGTGGTTGGAGGCTGGTGCCCCAGGCCTGGCCCCCAAGTACCTGAGCACTTCCTCAAGTATTGCTGTCTCCTTTATTAATTATACATTGAGCACTGCATGTTTTCCAAGAAGCTTCCTATTTCTCGTGTGTGCATGTGTGCATGTGTGCATGTACGTTTGCCATTACTGGGGTTTGAACTCAGGGTCTGGGTGCTGTCATTTGGATCACACCCATTTCTGGCTTTTTGCTGGTTCATTGGAGATAGAGACTTCCCTTTGAAATGGGATCCTCACTCAACTCTCAACTTCTGAGGAGCTGGGATCCTGGCGCGCACGCACGCACACACACACACACACACACACACACACACACACACACACACTGTGTGCTTGAGCTGGGATCCTGGCACGCACACACATACACACACACACACTGTGTGCTTGGGTGCTGGTGCTTTCCTGTAGGGGTTGCGTGAGGGTTGACGGTGCTGGAGGCATGTCAACTCTCACCAGGGCCTGGCTGCAGCCAGGAGATGGCCTTGGTTCCTGTGGTCCCAAGCTCAGCTCAGCAGCGATGGTGAGGGTAGAATTTGAATCAGGTTCCTTGCTGAGAAGCAGTCTTTGGCTTGTACTGGACACCTTGTGTGCCACTCACCCTCCTAGATGCTAGCAAGTTAGTCATTGGTGACTTAGTTCCTTTCCCACCCACACAGTGCCAGGCTGGGGGGAGGGAGGGGTTGTATCACTGTAGCAGATGCCCCACTGCCACAGGCTGTGTCGGGGGGCGGGGGGGGGGCAGGGGGAGCCCTGGTGGCCCACAATGGAGTGGCAGAACAGGATTCAAGTCTGGGCAGCAGTCTGGCCCCAGGTCCAAGTTCTTAACGTTATCCGATTACTCAAGGCAAAGTACCCAGTTTTTACTTCCGTATTTAAAACTTTTTTCGTACTGTACTGGGACTTGAACTCGGGCCTTGTGTTCTCATTTGGCTTTTTGTCTCAGAATTGACACTCTACCACTTCAGCCATGTAAGCAAGTGAAAGAAAACTCCCTTGGCCAACCCTGGCTGCCAGCTTAGCACTGACAAGTAGAAGCCCATGGATTTGGGTGTTAAAGATTAATCTGACTTCCCCTCACGCTGTCCCACAGGGACCCCTCCCTTTCCCCCTTCACCCCCCCCCTCCCCTGCAAGGTAGTGCTCTGCACAGGAGGCTGTTCTGCTGAAGCTTATTGCTTTGTCAATTTTAATGTGCAATATTGAATAGCCAGACCAAGAGATGGTCGTAAACATTTGGAAAATGAGGCTGACATTTCGCTTATTGCTTCTGTATTAACGATATATAATTGGAGAGTGTTTGTGCAGCTTGAGGAAAATCAACAGGAAACCAGGTGATGCTGGTGTACAATTCAAAAGAGGAATGAACAGCCTATGAGTGCAGAATACCAATCAGGTGCTGTAGCTCTCACCTATAATCCCAACTGCTCAGGAGGCTGAGTCCTGAGGGTTGTGATTCAAAGCCAACTCCGGGCAGGAAAGTCCATGAGACTTTTTTGGTCAGTCTTGGGGCTTGAACTTAGGGCTTAGGCACTGTCCTGAGCTTCTTTTTGCTCAAGGCTCTACCACTTGAGCCACAACGCTACTTCAGGTTTCTTCTGTGTATGTGGTACGGAGGAATTGAACCCAGGGCTTCATGCATGCTAGGCAAGTACCTTACCACTAAGCCACATTCCCAGCCCCATGAGACGCTTATCTCTAGTTAACCACCAAAGGGCTGGAAGTGGAGTTGTGGGTGAAGTGGTTAGAGTGCTAGCCTTGAGCAAAAAAGCTAAAGGACAGTGTCCAAGCCCTGAGTTCAAGCCCCAGTCAGGGCACAGAAAGGGAAGAAGGAAGGAGGGAAGAGATGGAAACTGAGGGACAATAGCCAGGATTCAGGGCTGTGGGTCAAGGTGAGGCCGCTGGCAGGTGACAGGCGTGGGCCTTGCTGGCATCAGGGCTGGCCCTCGCTCGCTCCTGAGCTGTGGGCAGTCATGAGCAGACCCTGTCCTGAGCTGGGCCTGCAGCACACCTCATGGTGCCCCTCTCCAGTTCCGGTCACTTCACAGTATTCTGACATGACATGAGAAAGGGGGGTGGGATTGCTTTGAAGCCCACCACTCTTAGTTCATCCTCAGAGCCTGTGCCTGAACTAGAGTTGGGTCACAGGAGGCCGTTACTATGGCAACAGAGTTCTCCTTAGTAACAGCTGCAAATAGACTTTGACCATAAATAATAATACATTTCAAAGTGCTTTCTACTCTATACCATAAACAATGGCAAGCACAGGCTATGCGGGAGTGTGGTCTGGGCTGCCTCAGTGGTTCGCTTCGTGAATGGGGTGGGAAGAAGGGATGAGAGGGGCCAGTGCTCCACAGCATTGCAGGAACCGAGTACAGAGCCAACTGGCCCAGTTGCAGCTAGTCATCCAGCTTGGAGGGCTGGGGGCCTCGCCTTAACCCTGCCCCGCGTCTCGTTGTCCTGAAGGACTTCTTCCTTCCTGTGTGTAGAAAGGATGAAGTGGGGACAGAAAGACAGAACCTGAGGAGAGGGCTGTGGGCCGCCTCTCTGTGGGTGTTTGTGTGCTATCTGTGGGGTTCTGTGTTTGTGCATGTGTGTGTGCATGTGCGTGTGCGTGCACTTGCCAGTCCTGAGACTTGAACTCTGGGCCTCATGATCTCACTTATCTTTTTAGCTCAAGGCTGGGACTGTGCCACTTAAGCCACAGCTCCACTTCCAGCTTTTTGGGGGGTAATTAGAGATAGAGTCTCACAGGCTTTTGCCCAGGCTGGCTTTGACACTCCATCCCCAGATATCAGCCTCCTGAATAGTGAGGCTTACAGGCAAGAGCCACTGGCACCCAGCGCTTCTCTCTGGTTAGAGGTCTGTGTGAGAAGTCAGTCCTTGGAGGAGAGGAGGTCTGTCGGGCAGCAGGAGATGCGTCCTCAGAGCTTTTGCATAAAGGTGCTGGGTTCAGGGCGCAGCCAGGCTTTAGACGGCTAAAGACTGCATCCATCCAGAACATTCCCAAGGTTGATGGGTGTCAGGCCAGAGATGTGAAACAAGCTGACTCCTGGAATTCTGCTCCTGATGCTGTGTTGTCACACCAGGGGTATGTCCCGAGTCTGGTGCAGCTTCTGCTCCTGCGGCTTCAATCTCGTCTTAGGAAAGAGACAGCTGCGTGCTGGTGCCTCACGCCTGTAATTTAGTACTCAGACTGCTGAGTTTGGAGGATCAGTTCTAAGCCAGCTTGAGCAAAAGTCTGTGAGACTATTGTCTCCAATTAACCACCCCCCATAAAAAAAAACAAAACCTGGAAGTGGAGGTGTGGCTGCTGCCACAGTTTTAAGCCAGGCGGCAGCTGAGCAGGAATATGATGTAGCTGTGTGGCCTGGGGTGGCCAGGTGGTGGCCAGAGGTGGCCAGGGCCTACACCAGGGACAGTGCCGGACAGCAGGCTTGGGCCAAGCGTGGGGCGCTGCATTTTGGGGTCTGTGCTTCCCCCCATCCCGTGTGCTCTGTGGCCCCGTGTCCCCCACTGACCCTATGCTTGCCTGTGTCACACGCTGACCCCACACTCCCCAACCTTGCATATCCCTGCGCCTCCCAGCTGACCCCGCATATCCCCGCTGACCCCGCGCCCCTCCCCCGCCTGTCCCCGCTGACCCCGCGCCCACGATCCCACGCGTTCCCGCTGACCCCGCGCCCCCCGACCCTGCATGTCCCCGCTGACCCCGCGCCCACGACCCCACGCGTCCCCGCTGACCCCGCCCCACCCCCGCTCGTTCCCGCTGACCCCGCGCCCCCCCCGACCCTGCATGTCCCCGCTGACCCCGCGCCCCCCCCCCCCCGCTCGTTCCCGCTGACCCCGCGCCCCCCCCGACCCTGCATGTCCCCGCTGACCCCGCGCCCACGACCCCACGCGTCCCCGCTGACCCCGCCCCACCCCGCTCGTTCCCGCTGACCCCGCGCCCCCCCCCGACCCTGCATGTCCCCGCTGACCCCGCGCCCCCCCCCACTCGTTCCCGCTGACCCCGCGCCCCCCCCCCTGACCCTGCATGTCCCCGCTGACCCCGCGCCCACGACCCCACGCGTCCCCGCTGACCCCGCCCCACCCCGCTCGTTCCCGCTGACCCCGCGCCCCCCCCCCCCGACCCTGCATGTCCCCGCTGACCCCGCGCCCTCCCCCCGTGCCCCCGCAGTGACGAAGCTGCAGGTGAGCAAGTGGAAGCGCACGCTGTCGGTGGTGGAGGGCGGCTCCATCCAGCTCAACTGCTCGGTGCGCGCGCAGACCAGCGCGGACTCACGCTTCGCCGTGCTGTGGTACGTGCACCGCGCCGCCGACGCCGACGGCAAGCTCATCCTCAAGACCACGCACCGCGCCGCCTTCGAGTACGGCACCTACGCCGAGGAGGCGCGGCTGCGCGCGCGCCTGCAGCTCGAGCGCCTGGCGGCCGGCGGCCTCTTCAGCCTCACCGTGCACCGCGCCGAGCTGGCCGACAGCGGCAGCTACTACTGCCACGTAGAGGAGTGGCTGCTCAGCCCCAACTACGCCTGGTACAAGCTGGCCGAGGAGGTCTCGGGGCGCACGGAGGTCACCGTCCGCCAGCCAGGTGGGGCGGAGCACGCACGGCGGGGCGGGGCCGCGCAGGCGGGGCGGGGCAGGTGCACCCTGAGGGCGGGGCCGCGCAGGCGGGGCGGGGCAGGTGCACCCTGAGGGCGGGGCCGCGCACGGCGGGGCGGGGCAGGCACACCCTGAGGGCGGGGCAGGGGCACGCTCTGCGGGGCGGGGCTACGCCTTGAGGGCGGGGCAGAGGCCCCTGGCTTTCCCGCGTCCCGCGGTCTGCCCTCAGGGCCAGGGCACGTCGGGACTCCTCGGAGCACTGGCCCGCGAGCTCGGCCTGGGCACGCGGTGCTGCCTGCATGGGGCTCGCGCGGGACGGCACTAGGCCCTTCCGTGGAAGGCGCGGGCGCGGTCTCCTGGCGGGCCCTCCGTGCGCGTGCGCCCTCCGTCCTCACGGCCGCGCCTCCCCGCAGACAGCCGCCTGAAGCTGAGCCAGGCGCAGGGCAACCTGTCGGTGCTGGAGACGCGGCGCGCGCAGCTGGAGTGCGTGGTGCTGAACCGCACGAGCACGGCGTCGCAGCTGGCCGTGGAGTGGTTCGTGTGGAAGCCCAACCAGCCGGAGCGGGAGACGCTGGCGCTGCTGGGCCGCGACCACACCTTCAGCTACGGCGAGCAGGCGGCGCGGCAGCGGCTGCGCGGGCGGCTGCACGCCGAGAGCCCGGCGCCGGGCGTGTTCCGGCTGCAGGTGGACGACGTGGCCGTGCAGGACAGCGGCGCCTACAGCTGCCGCGTGGAGGAGTGGCTGCCCGGGCCCGGCGGCGCCTGGTACAAGCGCGCGGAGGACACCGCGGGCCCCACCACCCTGACGGTGCTGCGGCCAGGTGAGGGGCCGGCCGGGGAGGGAACGCCGCAGGTGTGGGTGGGTGTGGCCAGGAGGGCTGTGGCACGGTCAGGTGGGGCGCAGGTGTGGGTAGGTGGGGCGCAGGTGTGGGTAGGTGGGGCGCAGGTGTGGGTAGGTGGGGCGCAGGTGTGGGTAGTGGGGTACAGGTGTGGGTAGGCGAGGCACAGCAGGTGGGGCGCAGCGCCTGTGGCTCCCTATGGGGTGGCAGTTCCCCACAGGATTCTTTCAGCTCCCTCTAGCACATCACTACTGGGGCTTGAACTCAGGGCCTGGTCACTGCCCCTCGGGTGTTTTTTGCTCAAGGCTGGTACTCTACCGCTTGAGCCATATCTCCACTGACAGCTTTTTGGTAGTTAATTGGAGATGAGAGTCTGACAGAGTTTCCTGCCTAGACTGGCTTTGAACTGCGATCCTCGGGATCTCAGCCTCCTAAGTGACTAGGAGGATGCAGGTGTGACCCTGGTGCTGGGCTGGGGACTTCCTGACTGACTGCACATCTCCACACACAGCCCCGCCCCATGCTGATGGTGGGCGCTGGAGCTGGTGTGTGGACGTGGCATCTGAGGAGCGGATGAAGCACATTTGGTTTGTGTGGATCAGTAAGTCAGCCTGTCTCCCTTCTCTGTTCCCTGCCCTCTCCCACCAGATGCGGCCCTGCAGGTAGACTCGGTGGTCCCCAACACCACCGTGTCGGAGAAGGCCACCTTCCAGCTGGACTGTAGCATCGTGTCCCGCTCAAGCCAGGACTCACGCTTTGCCGTAGCCTGGTACTCCCTGAGGACTAGAGCCGGAGGGAGGAGGGGCAGCCTTGGTCCGGAGAGCGAGGAGGAGGAGTTGAAGGAGGAGGAGCGGGACAGGGAGGAGCAGGAGCCGGAGGATCCCACAGAGCGGACTGTACTGCTGAGTGTGGACCCCGATGCCGTCTTCGGCCCTGAGGGTGGCCCCTGGCAGGGCCGGCTCCGCTTCCAGAGGCTGTCACCCCTGCTGTTCCGCCTCACCGTGCTACGAGCCAGCCCCCATGACACGGGCAACTACTCCTGCCGAGTGGAGGAGTGGCTGCGGGGCCCCCAGGACTGGTACCGGCTCACGGAGGAGGAGTCCGCCCCCGTCAGCATCCGAGTGCTGGACACCGGTGAGTCCTCTCCTGGGGGAGGGTCACAGCTCACTTCACATCCACAGCTGACCCCGGGGTTCATGTGTGCTTATTTTGGGGGGGGGGGGCAGTCCTGGGGCTTGAACTCTGGGCCTGGGCACTGTCCCTGCACTCTTCAGCTCAGGGCAAGTGCTCTATCGCTTGAGTCACAGCACCACTTCCGATTTTCTGGTGGTTCAGTGGAGATAAGAGTCTTACAGACTTTTTTGCCTGGCTTGGCTTTGAACCATGATCCTCAGATCTCAGTCTCCTGAGTAGCTAGGATGACAGGCGTGAGCCACTGAACCCAGACTGCACTTTTTCTCTGTCATGCTGGGCAGTGGAAGGGAAGCAGAACAGGATGAGAACACCTCCTGCAGTGGAGGAAGCAGGCACGTGGACGGGGTCCTGAGCTTTGGGGGCTCAGAGATGGGCTGGGCAGCTCCAGTTTCCAGAGAAATCCGCAGGCTCTGACAGGCTGGAGGCTCTCAGGAGCTCCTTTGCAGTTTTTATGGCACGGCCGCTGGCTGGCATGGGGCACATCTCCCCTGCCTCCGGGTGTCCCCCGCCTCCAGGTCACAGTGGTGTCAGGGTTGGCATCCTTAATTTGGAGTGGCATCCGGCGTTGCTGTGGGAAGCAGTGGGAGGGGCTGTGTGCAGTGCCCCAAGAAGGGCAATGGTGGCAGAGAAGGGTGTCAGAAGACCCGTGCCACATGGGCCGCCGTGGCTTCTGTGGCCTGCTAGATACGGTCAGGTCACAGCCAGCTCCCTTCTGTGAGATGGGCAGAGCGTGGGGTCGCTGGGCCATGTGAAGTTGCCACTGTGAGTGGGAGAGCGTGGCCCTCTGGGGGGAGGCCCGCTTGCATGCGTGGGGCTGGTGTGGCCTTTGGCATGGACGTGGTCGTCCAGCCTCACCAAGCCATATCCCATGTCCTCCCAGGCCCCACGCTGCAGTCTCTCATCTGCTCCAACGACGCGCTGTTCTACTTCGTCTTCTTCTACCCGTTCCCCATCTTCGGCATCCTCGTCATCACCATCCTGCTCGTGCGTTTCAAGAGCCGGGGTGCGGGCCGTGGCGCGGAGGGGAAGAACGGGGTGCCGCTGCTGTGGATCAAGGAGCCGCACCTCAACTACTCCCCAACCTGCTTAGAGCCCCCGGCGCTCAGCATCCACCCGGGGGCCATCGACTAGCGGGCCGTGGGGCCCCCGGCAGTGCCGGCACCCACCGCGGCTGCCGGGAAAACACCACTTGGAAAAGCATCCCCGTGATGTCACCACGGTGTGATGTGCCACGGCGGCCGGCGGAGGCCCCGCCCTTCGCCCCTGCGCCATGGCGGGACCTGGCCGCTGTAGCTTCCTAGTTTGGGGTCCGTGTGTGTCGTGACAGCCCGGGGATGCCATGCACCACCGGCGCTGGGCCTTCACCATGGCCCCTTCTAGACCTTTCTGGCTCCTCTTCAGCCTCCACGGTGCTGCGGGCGGAATCCCAGACCACCCCTGGCCGAGGGATGGCGGGCGGCATCACCGGGGCCTTCCAGAGCCTTCTGGATTTGCACACTTGAAAATGCCGTGCCGGAACCCAAACACACCCAGACATGTTTGATTGGGGGGGGTTGTATCTTAACAAGACTTGAAAAGGGTGGTGTGGCCCCGCGTGATGTGGCTCCGCATGGCTTGTCTGTGGGCTGCCATGCAGGAGCCCTCCAGTGTGGCTTCCAGGAATTCGGCAGGACCAGCCCTGCACCATCAGGGCCAGCGGTGCCCGGCCAGCTGTCAGCGAGCGAACAGAACAGGGGCATCTCATCCTTGCCAAGAAAGTGAATGTCTCTAGGAAATTGCTGCGCTCCGCAGCCGAGGCTGCCGTAGTGACCACACACCCGAGCCTCGGACCAGAGCTGGTGCCCTCTGGTGCTTTGTCAGACTTGGAAGAGAGACAGCCAGGGCTGAGCTGGGGCCAGGCCGCCACTGTTCGCCCAGCGTGGGGGGACCATGGATGGGGACAGAGCCCCGTGTTTCCTTTCTCCCTCCACCATCCCCAGAGACAGTGATGTCTTCCTGTTCCTCACGCCCCTGTCCCCACGGCTCACTGCCCAGAGAGAACGGGCACCAGGATCCTGGCTGGTAGCCAAGCACACGCCTGTCATCCAGCATGCAGGAGGGGAAGGTAGGAAGGTAGAGGGTTGGAGGCCAACCTGGCCTCCGTAGTAAGGCCCTGTCTCTAGGAAGTAAAGAAGAGAGGAGGGAGGGGGAGGGGGCTCCTCACGCCTCGTGTCAGCTGGGGGTGCTGTGGGGGGGGAGGCAGGTCCTTCCCTTCCCCCCCCCCTTTTGTGCCGGTACTGGGGCTTGAACTTGGTTCTGTCCATTAGCTTCTTCCCCGCTGAGGCTATGCCTGTGCCCCAAGAGCCACAGCTCTGCTCCCAGCGTGGTGCTGCTTCAGCGGAGATTCAAGTCAAGACTTTCCTGCTGGGGCTGGCTTCAGGCAGCGATCCTCCAATCTCCGCCTCCCGGGTTCTGGTTTTAGGTTGGGTGCCCCTGTTGGGTGAATGCCGTCAGCTGCCCCCTGGAGGGACGGCTAAGGCCCCCCCCCCCCCCCCGCGCCACGCCGCACATCCATTCGGGAGAAAAAGAAAAGACTTGTGGAATGGAGTCTGAGGAGAGCCCTGTGGATCCGGGTCTAAGAGTAGGCTGGAAGGAGTCGGGCCCCAGGCACATGTGGACGTGGGGCCTCAGGAGGCCAGTGCACAGAATGCTTTTGCCTGGTTCACTCAGTTCAGGGGTGCAGATGCCAGCTCTCGTGAGATGAGGATGACTCTTCCCTGCCTGAGTGGAAAGGCGCCGTGGCTGGAGCTGAGCCGTGAAGTCAAGTGTGTAACAGTGCAGGAAGTTCGAAAGAAAAAACCCGACTCCAGTATTTTAACAATTGCGCTTTTGTTTTTCTCCTGTCTTTTCTATGGGGCTGGGGAAAAGAGGTTGAGCTTTGAGCTTTCTATGAAAAAAACCCCAGGACCCTGGTTCTGTAAGCATTTCTATGGAAATGTGGCGTCCTGCTGGCGGTGGTGCCCTCTGGTGGCTGCGTGGCCTCCCTGCACATCATCTGCCCGAGCCTCAGCCTTGGAAGGAAAAGCGGGCACTGCTGACTCTGTGTCCGCGGGGTGGCATTGGTGAAGACCTGCAATGTACCGTGTGCGGTATGCCCTGCGCCCCGAGGCCTGCCCAGGACAGGCAGATAACCCAGCTGCGCCCCTCTTTCGCTGGGGTGCTTCCGTAGCAAGTTTTCATATTCTTTACAATGGTTTCTCTGCAGTTAATTGTTGAAAAAAAATGGGGTAAGAACCCATTCGTGGTAGAGAGCTGTTGTTTTTTTGTGTTTTTATTTTTTTTAAAGGAAAAACTATTTGTAAGATGTTGCACTAAAGCGTTTTTATATAACCTCAGAGAAGTGTAGTAAATTATGTTGATGATACGTGTGGAGTCCGCCTGTGCTTCGTCACCTAGATTTCTGCCCTTGGCATTGGCCTGCTAAGACCCAGTGTCCATGAATTGCTCAGCTTGCTTGTTAGGCTGGTGCTCTACCACCTGAGCTGTGCCTCCAACCTAGTTTTTTGCTATCTAGTTGGAAATAGAGTCCAGATTTTTTTGCCTGGACTGGCTTTGAACCTTGATCCTCTGCTTCTCAGCATGAGCCTCTGGTGCCTGGCTGTTAGGTGTTAGTTTTACCTATTTTTTTTCTCCCCATGTACTTTCTTGCTAGGAATTACACAATGAAAAAGAAAAAAAAAGAGAAATGGAGTGGGATGCAGATGAAAGTCCAGTCAGTGTAGAGAAACAAATGTCTTCCCATGAGCTGTCCGGTGAAAATGACAGTTTGTGCAGTGTGCAGGCAGGGTCTTGCCCACTATGAGTAACAAGTGACATTCTAAGCTTCATATTTCCATCCAGGTGGCTCACACCTGTCATCCTAACAGCTCAGGAGGCTGAGATCTGAGGATCACAGTTGGAAGCCAGCCCGGGCAGGAAAGTCTCAAAGTACATGAAATCAAAGGAAGCCATCCAGCAGGTCCTGTGGTGGGCACTGTTGGGCAGGCATGCTAGGAGTGTGGGGGGGGCATTGAGGGGACACCCCAGCTCCTCAAGACAGCCATACCGGAACCCAGCAACTCGACCTCAGAAGTGGGGACCTAGGAGCCAGGGGCTGGTTCTGGAGCTGCAGCTGGAGTGCAATACCGTGAGTGTACACTGGGTGTCGCTCTTGCACAAGACCAGCTGCAGTTCCTGAGGAGCCTGCGGGGGGCCCCCCAGGGCTCAATGAAGAGCCTGGGCGGGGCCTGGCACCGGGGTACTCACCTCTCCCCAGGAAATGCGTTCCAGCCTCGCACCGTTGGTTCACACCTGTCATCCTAGCTGCTCCGGAGGCTGAGATCTGAGGATCACAGGGCAAAGCCAGCCCGGGCAGACAAATCTGAGAAAGTTATCTTCAGTTAGCCCACCAAAAGCCAGAAGTGGAGCTGTGGCACACATGATAGAACCTCAGTCTTGAACAAAGAAAATCAAGCAGGTGAGTGTGAGTACACACACACATCATTCCAGGACCTGAAGAAAATCATTTTCCAAGCAAGATGTGGGAGGGTGGAAGTCATTTCTCAGTTACCAGAGGGACCGGGAAGCACCGAGAGAGCCTGACCTAGAGCCATCCACTGAAAAAATTTCCGAGCGGGTGCTTTCGTGCAAGATGGAGCTATGCTGATCTAATTTGGGCCTGAGCTGCTTCGTGGCAGGGTTCTGCCTCTACTGCTTCCTATTAACCTTTCCAGCCTTCTAGAACACTGCTTCCTCCAGCCCCAGCCAGGCCGGAGCCTAGGGTCTGGCCTGTGAGGACTGGTCCCGTGGGGAGGTGGCTGTGGCTGGTCACAGCTAGTGAGCCTTGGGCGGCAGCTGCTGAAGCTCCTGTCCTTGCGTTTTATCTCCCTTCCTTGGGAAGAACTCTCTGGAAGTAGAGAAGGGGGAGCATGTGGCCTGGGGAGGGGGGGGTTGCGTGGTGAGGGAACGTTTGGTCTCTGTCTCATGCTCCCACTGGGCATGTGAGGGCTGTGGCTCTGTCTCGTAGATGGCTGCCAGAAGCCTCCATGGCTGGAGTTTGGGTTCCGGTCTCCTCTAGCTGAGAGCGGCTGCATCTGCCTTCTGTCCTCTCTCTCTTTCTCTTCCTCTTTTTTTTGTTTCTGGTGGTGATGCCGGGGCCTGGCATTGCTAAGATGGCCTTTTTAGCTGGGGCCACACTCCCCCCCCCCCCCCCCCGCCCTTTCTCCTGAAGTGACGTGCACTGAGGTCCATTTTTGCCCTAAGCTGGCCTCAGACTGTGATCCTTCTCTCTGTGGCGTCTTGCGTAGCTGGAGCCACTAGTGTGCTGCGCAGGGGCCCCTGTTCTGGTCCTCATCATCACGATGAGGCGGTTGGGTTGCCCCGTGGCAGCTCCGAGTGGAAATGTCAGGTTGATGGACAGAGCACAGTCGAGGCCGTTCCTGTCCCTCCTCCCCCCCCCCCCCACGGCTGCCATGTGACACATGGAGCAGGGCTGCTACCTGAAGCTCCCAGACACCTGGAAGGCAGGAAGGACGAGAGAGGGCGGGACCTGAGCCCCAGGTCCAGGCTGGCATGGGGGGTGTAGCCAGAGCCAACCTGGCTCTGTGATTGGCTGCAGGGCTCCCCCTTCTCCCCCAGGAGGAGCCACAGCCGCCCCGGGCTGGGCAGGGAAGGACTACCAGGAGGAAGTCCCAGATTAGCCAGCCCCAGATGCCCGGGGCTTCTCGGGGCAGCAGATATGCCAGGTGGGCCGCTCTCCCTCCTAGATGGCCACACTACCCAGAGCGGAGGGACAGGAAGCCGGCACCCAGGAGGGCAAGGACAGGACTTGCCAGGACGGCTGTGGCCGGGGGGCTGTCATCGCGAGTCCCTGGTATAAACAGGGAACCTGGAGACTGCCACTGCGCCAGACAGCCATCCCAGCTGCTCGAGAGGCTGAGATCTGAGTGAGGAGCGCGGTTTGAAGCCTGCCCGGTCAGAAAAGCCTGTGACACTCTTTTTTTTTTTTTTTTTTTGTCGGTCATGGGGCTTGAACTCTGGGCCTGGGCGCTGTCCCTCAGCTCTTCAGCTCAAGGCGAGCGCTCTACCACTTGAGCTACAGCGCCACTTCCGGTTTTCTGGTGGTTTATTGGAGATAGGAGTCTCACGGTCTCTCCTGCCCGAGCTGGCTTTG